GCGAGGAAGAGAAGGGTGAAGGTGGACCAAGCTTGGCTATGCCTACTACCTTTATGGAGTGGGACACTGATGATGATGAGGACCCTTGGTCACCTAAATCCTTTACATCCGAGTCCACGTGTGTCCCCAGTGATGAAGAATTCCTCACCGATTGGGGCGAGAGTGCCATGTGGGAGGACAACGATGACAATCTTGCTATGGCGGCTTGGAAGACGGAGAACGTCTACAATCCACTGAACGGTCAGATATGTTGTTGCATCACTGGTGATCCCATTGACAACGATGTAGTTGATGAACCATTTCCGACGATGCCATGTGTAGTGCGTGATACACAACATCGCCCAAAACTTATGGGCAATAGGTTGTTCAACGCTGTGGTATCAAGACCTGTGAGCCGTGCTGAGATCTTATCCAATAAGAAGGCAATGCAATCTATGTTGGATGAGTGGGGCGGACTCTGGGATGAGGAAACATTCGACGGGTCGTGGCTGAGAGAATATGATGAGATAGTGGCGACCTCCAAGAAGAAAGGGGAAGAAGTTCACTTAGCAAGAGTACGTGGAATATGTGTAGAAAAGAACTACCAACTGCCTGACGATGACCCGAAGAGGAAGTTCAAAGGGCGAGGGGTTCTACTCGGAGATCAGGTGAAGAACCAGAACTTCGAGGCAGCATTGTTCCAAGACCTTGGAAACTCTCCAGCTACATTCGAAGCTGCTCGATGGGCCGATTTCTACGGTTGCCTGGAAGGTAATGATGTGCAGGTGGCAGACGCCATTCGAGCATATATCCAAGCATTATTGGGCGGTGTACCGTGTTGGGCTGAACTCCCGTGGGAAGCGTGGCCCAAGCACTTGCAAGAGGAGATCACCAGAAGGGGTCTCAAACGTCCTATGTGTCGTGTGAACAAAGCATTATACGGACATCCAGACTCTGGAACGATGTGGGAGCAACATTGCGACGAATCTGTACGTGCATTGGAGTTCAAACCCGTCGGACCAGAATGGCCGTCGATGTATTACCACGAAAAGCTAGACTTGCTGTTAGTGATATATGTGGACGACTTGAAGTTGGCAGGGCCCAAGGAGAACTTGAAGAAAGGTTGGGACCTACTCCGATCCAAGCTGCGCATTGAACCGGAAACCGAGGTCGGATTGTATTTAGGATGTGTTTTGTCGAAAGGCGAAGATAAATTGGCCGATGGTTCCAAAGTCACTACAATGACATATGATATGAGCGCTCTGCTCAAAATGAGCGTGGTCAAATACCTCGATATAGTAGGTAAGGACACAGTATTGAAGAAAGTTGCAACGCCCATGTTACCGGATGTCACAAAGGATCATCCATCGAGAGCACCATGCAGTACCCAAAAGGGACTTGCTGTCACATGCACATGGTGTGGTACTTGTTTCTCGCCTGACCAGGCAGCTTCCAAGGCCAGGTCAACAGACGATGACGTCAAGTCTGATGCGAAGGAGCAACCTCGTGGTACCCTAGCGCCTCATGCTGCTAGTCTCCTAATGAAACTGTTGTACGCCGCTAGAATAGCGCGTTTCGACCTGTTAAGGGCCATCAATGCGCTGGCTCGCAATGTGACAAAATGGACAGTTGCCGACGATGCTAAATTGCACCACCTGATGTGTTACGTGCATCGTTCAGCCGATCAGAAAATGGTAGGTTGGGTCGGTGATTCCAAAGCAGACCTGTCGTTAGCCCTATTCGCAGATGCGGACTACGCAGGATGTGGTCAATCGTTGAAGTCGACTTCCGGTGCACACATGCATGTCCAAGGCAAGCGAACTCGTTTCCCGTTGGCAGGAGGTAGCAAACGTCAAGGGTGCGTTAGCCACTCCACCCCGGAGGCTGAGATTGTCGCGGCGGATTACGCATTGAGGACACTTGGCATCCCGAGCATCAGTGCGTGGGAGACTTTGATGAGGACGCCACCAAGAATAGTCTTTTATGACGATAATCAAGCGATGATCAATGTTATGCGGAGTGGGAGGAACCCCACGATGCGTCACATGGAGCGAACTCATGGTATTTCCATCACTTGGTTGTACGAGATGTTCAAGCGTGACTATCTGTTGCTCGTATATGAGGTCACTGCTCGTATGGCTGCCGATATCCACACTAAAGGGTTCGACGATGCCAACTCATGGAAACATGCGTGCATGTTGATCAATATACTGAGCGATGATGGTCTGCGCAGCCAAGCATTGCTCGACTTGATGAAGCCAACTCATGATGGATTGTCTTACGCCAAGCAGCTCCAAAAGGATCGTTACAGTAAGGTGCCAACATACCCTTACACCACCATTCCGGTTGTCCCGCCACACCTGTATCAGCCGGGACTTTCGAGCAAAGAGGGACTGCAAGAGATCCCTGGATGCGACCCCTACGTTATGGTTCGTACTCCCAAGCTGTACAGGCTGCGTCCACCACGGGCTCCCCCGGATATGACATACCTTCGCAGCACTTGGATCTTGCAGGACGCGCAATGGCAACAGATCGAGGATAAGGTTGACCCCACCTTAGAACCCGTTCGGTTTGACCGTTGGGTCGAACGTGCGTTCTTTCAGTTTCATCCTTTGTCTTCTCCGTTACCCGAAGCGTCCGTTCCTGCGTCTCGTCCTTTCGACGCTGCGACCCTTCCACGTCTTTTGTTTAGCTTGCGTCCGCTTATCCAATGTCGCGAGTTGCAACAGACTCTCCGCGATTCGTCCTTGTACTTGTCGATTCATCACTGCTCGACCTCTGCCTTACACGTGCTCAACGCCCTGACGCGCCTTGTGCATGGGGGGAATGGGGGGTCTGGGGGGTCTTCGATGATTTTCGACAATTTTGTTTCGGATCCTGAAGAGCAAGAGCACTCAGTTCACGATCATTGGGAGGTAGACGAAGAAGCTAAGACGCTAACAAGAATACACTCGTCTCCTAGGAGAAAGGCGTTCTGCCCGAGTGACGCGCCATCTTGTCCAGTCGACATGTCACGGATCAAAGACGACAGGACGACTTACCGTCAAGGAAGTCGGCTCGAGTCATCAGATTTTGAGGATTGTGTCAAGGACTATTGGCGACACTCAGGTAGAGGTACGCATACCAAAACGCACCTCCGATGGATAGGCAAGACTGTGTTCACCCTCAGGGGAAACAACGCTGAATCGGAAAACGAGGAAGCTAAATCGGCTGCGATAGCGTTATGCAGCACCCCAAAGCGTATGAAAACGATCCCATTGACCTAGAGGCTCCAACAGTCTCTTTTGGACGTCGTTTCTGCATAAGACAGCTTTTGCTGTCTTTTGTGTTTTTTGATGTTTTGGATGGTGGTAGGCATACGCTCAAAGCTAGCGGATCACTACTTGCATCAGCGCTCCCAATGCCATGCGCGAGAGTTTAACTGCCATTGTGTCAGTGCGCATGTCAGGCATTGGTCAGGATAGTCTGTCAATACAAGTGCACTGCCTTTTTCCAAACTAGTGCCCAGCGGTGGGGATCACTTGAAATTAATATAGTTTGGATACAATGTCATGTGCATTTTCCATGGTGTGCGTTTGGTTTTCTAGGATACCCACCGGTGAAAATACAACCGATAGACAGGGGCGCGCAGCATAGACACACGCGATTACCAACTCTCAAAAGCAAACGCCCGAGTGTCAGGTTTCGTGTTTTCACTTTTCTGGCGCTCTTCTGCGCTGCACTCTGCCCGGCGATTTCCCAGGAACCAGAGGGTCCATGGATCCATCCATCCAGAGGGTCTTTTTCAAGGCAACATAATACATCATAGTACCACCGCAATTACCACAATACATTTTTTTTGTGTGAAGCTAGAAGGAACGCGGAAGCAGGCCACAATGGGTGGCCATCTTTGTGAAGCACCCTCCTTGTTCCAGGCTCAGGCTCAAAGGCCACCGTGAGACACGAAGCCGAGCAAAGGGTTGAAGGTGAATAAGGTTTTCGCGTGTTCATGTCATAGGAGCCTTCCAATAAGATCTCGTATCCCCAAAGACTTCTATAATAAGAGTGTATATAGATTCTAGATCAAATCAGCAGTCCGTGAACTGATGTCCTGGAACCCATGCATAGTAAATTACTACATATACATTTTTTGTGGGTTTCTGAAAGATGGGTCTTGCGTCGCCCTGAGCACTGATCTCGCGGTGTGGCCCGCGGCGTGGCTCTCAGACCGTGCCCTCCTGCGATGCGTCGGTCGAGTGGATGGCAAGTTCAATCACCATGAACATACTGAGTTTGTGTGCTTCCGTGTTTTTTCTTTTGGGGGACCAAACGGTCAAACCTAATTTGATCCATGCACATGGACCTTTCAAGCTGTGCATGGCCATTGCGGTTTGTCAGAGGAAGGTTGCTGGTGATTATTTTCCGCCTTGACAGCCTGCCATTTTGTGAGGGTTGCGAAAGCGGCTGTCGACCTGTCACTCACTGGTTGCCATGGCAGTCGTGGAGAACCCTGAGAGCCCGATCTTAGAAAGCCAGAGCCCATTCTACTTACAGTGGCGATCAACTCGCCCAGGCCGTGTTTCATGGAAGAAGGACGACGTGGCCCCTCGACTCCTATTTTTCACGGTCTCGCTTTATCTATCCCTTTCTAAGGAGCCAAATACTGTGTAGTCATCAACAAAGTATAATTTTCCCTCCGCTATATAGACTCACCACAATCAAGGTTCAGTTGGCTACATCAATGAAGAACAATCTCCCGATGGAGGTTGTGACGGTGATCTCCGATCCAAACTACAAGGGGGGGTCCTTTGATCAACCTGAAGAACCCCATGGCTCGCCCAAGTGCCAGCGAATTGGCAAAAAACCACGTATGGCTCCTGCCCCTTGTGAAGGACAGTCCATCCAAGGCAAGTGTTTGGAAAAGAACATTTGTGTGTTGCAACATTTGTTTTTGTTTTTTGAAGGGCTCATGAGTTTTGAAGGGTCTTCAAACCCCATGCCTTGAGGTGCCGTCGGGCTACTACATCTGCGACGCGTTCCTGATGCTCGACTTCTTGCTGGGGAAGAAGCTTTTCAGGCCAGAGCCTGGAAAGGAGACGAGAGCTGGGTTGGCATCTGAGGAGGCGGTGAAAGCCAAGAGGTGCCTGGGAAGTTTGCGGTACCTGTGGAGGAACAGTACAGCAAGCCATGACCCATACGTCCTTGAGATGAAGTCACATTTGCGCCCTTCACCACTCCAGGGTCAGCGTCGGCGAGGTCGAGCTGATGAAGCGAGTGAATGCGATGAAGATTTGATGGAGGTCTCTTCCAACGGGGCCTTGGAGGATGAACCTATGGACAATGGGCATGCTTCTGATTGTCCGGACAGCCCCGCCAATGAGAGCACAGCCGCACCGAGCAAGTTGGCTGTACATCTCAATGCAGTTTTTGGTTTGTTGCGTTGTTGTTTAAGTTGACATGAGGTACGTATTAGTATCTAATGTCTTCCAATCCGATGGCAGCCTAGGCGACAATCCACCTCCAAATGCTCATGAGCAGGCAGACTCGCCGGTGTCTTTGACCGCTTCGACTCGACGATTGGGCTCTTCCCCGTCACCGGAGCAGGACTTGCGTGACTCGCAGGTCAGTTCAGGTTGGCTGGGAAAATTCTACGGAGCATATGGGGGCGACAACCCGCGCTGCAGGTTGGCTGACCCTGGCATCGACGGGGATAGCGACGGCGTCAGTGCTTCGGATGATGAGCTTGAAACCAACGAGGCGCCTGCCGGTGACCCAAATTTCCAAGAGATTTTGGATGTGATCCGAGCTGTATTGCAGAGCAATGGTCTCTTTGGCGAGTGACTTGCATACTGCTCTTGAAAGTTTTGGTGATATTGAATATGTTTTAGGGTGGGCGTTGCAGTAAGTTGGATTTGATGCACAGTAAAGAATTTGGTTTACCTTCTAAAGTGTTCGACTTATAGCGTTTCAAAAACCACCTAGGCACCCCATGATGGATGAGTATTTGAAGCATTGTCAGAACGCTCTGACCAAGTATGGTCACTGTATCGGTGACACGCTGGCCAGCCGGAAGCACTTCCACGAGTGGATTTACACCCAGAAAGCCGAGGACATTTGTTTGAACATGTGTCCACACAGTGTGCCCATGCAATCTTCGTCCCCCAGCCCCAAAATCCATAGACGTCCACTTGAACATATGCCCGCATTCCCTCGATCATGACTTCAACTTCCAGAGTAAGGGCGACCATTCACCTGTGAACGCACGTCCCAGGATTCTCCTCCATCGGCTGAAGGGTCCAACCAGAAGGTCCAGGCCTGTTGCTGACGACTGTCTGCTGAGCGGTTTCGCCACTAGAGTTTTGAGAATGAACTAAACAAATCATACCTGATGCAGATTGCAACATGCCACCTTCTCTGATGTACAAACATCAAGGAAATCAAACTGATGGAAAGGTTCATGCAGGTCCAACTGTTTAGATGACATGTTTTGACCCTGCCCGTCGCGAGGCTTCCAATGGGCTCTCAAAGGCTTTGAAGATCATGGACGCGGCCGAACCTTCGGCTTGTGAGTTGGACGGGGAACCTACGGTCACCCCGGCAACCAAAAGGCCTCGCCTTGCTGACAGCGTGAAGATGAATCTAGAGATCACACCACCACCTGTCGTCGAAAGGCAATCTGTTTCTCGTCTTCTCGGAACAACGTGTGTGCCATGGATCGTCATGTTGTCTATTTAGCTACCCAAACTCACCAAAAGGTCCACCAGAATACTTTCCCAGTCGAGCCCTCGTGCATTACCCAATCGAACCAAGGTTAAAGCGATGGCCAAAATCAAGAAGGAGGAGAAGGCCGCCAAAGGCAACAAAGGGGGCCAGGTGTCTTCGGGAGAGCGGGCAACGACATTCAAGGGCTACAGCCTTGAAGGTTTACCTCGTGAAGCACTCCCTTGGAAGGATACGGATTACAAAGGGAAACACAGCTACACCGTTTGCATCGGTGAAGCAGCTCCCCAGCCCAAAAAAGAAAGACTGTTTTTTAGAGTTGTTCATAGAGTTGTTCAAATGTAAGCAACATCAAAAGATTTAATTGCCGATGGTCCATTCATTAAGGATAGCTGCTCTAAAGGATTGACAGAACATGGGATAGCTGCTCATGGCTCTAAAACATTGCTTCCGTCCACCAAGGCTTTGGAGATCTTGTGCAAAGTGCAGGCCTATGTGGTCAAGCGCGCAGTCCCTGGCTCTGAGAAGCCCGACGTCGCCCAAGTGTTGTGGAAGCGGCATGGCGGGCCTCTCAAAGCGTGGGACGAAGCAAAGTCCCGCGCAGGGCTCTGATAACTGATATGATTTTGTAGGTGCTTGCGCACGCCTAGGCTAGACCGGTCTTTGAACTTCGACTAGGCTTGTCATGGTTCTGTAAATCTAGTTATGCCAAATTGTCATGGTTCTGGAAATCTAGTTACGCCAAATGATTCCTACCGATCATAGAAGGTGAGTCCGGTAGCAAGCGTGCCTTTGGGATTGCCACTGCTTCAAAGTCTAGTGGCTTCTTAGGGGGATCCATCCACCGTAGAACCAAACATCATGCTGGGATGACCCATAGCGTGCTGGGAAAAAACTGTACGCACGTCGAAGGTGAAAGCTTCTCCCTGGTTTTAGAACACAGAAGCTCAAGTCCAACCTTCCCTCTCCAGGTACAGGGGTGCCTGGCGTACCTCCCTCTGGCAAGCGAGGACTGTTGGGGACACGGTGCGAAGGAAGGGATGAGCGAAAGCTTCAACCAAAAAAACAATCCAAGGTTGATGACTCACCAACCCATACATACCAAAGGGAACTCCAAAGGGATTATTGAAAGTGTCAACAAAGAATCCCTGCCCAAGGTTGATGATCGACTTACCAACAAATACGTATTGAAGCCATTTTTGTTGATCGATTGATCGCCCAAAGGAAGGGATTCTCGATCGCCGGTCGATTTCGTTTGCGCCGCCATGGCCCCTAATGCCAAGCAGGTCAAGAAGCAGACCAAAAAGGATTTGCCTTTTCCCAAGGCTCCGTTGTTGCGGCAGCCAAAAGACATGCGAACCCGCCAGCTGAGCAACATATTGGCGGGACTCAACTACATCCGCGCGCCCGTTGTGACTTGTCTTCTGTGATTGGGGGTAAGGCGTGCGAAGAAGTTGACACAAGTGTTGGCACAAATTAGTGAATGTGGGTTTAAGCCAACGTAAAACACGGCAGCGCCCAGGTCGTATGCACATTGGTCTCTGTCCTGTTCACAGTGCCTGGCCTGCGGTGGGACAATCCCATAGATCACTTGGAGATCTTCGCGGGGAAAATGTCGGTCACCCTGGCCGAGCTACAGGCTTCGCAAAAGAATGAAGCATCAAAAACGTCCATTGGGCTCGTCAAAAACCTACCATTGTGTTCATCAAAAGTCAAGTCTTCCCTTCGTAACTGTCCATTTCGATTGGGGCTATGTGGAAAATTGCCAAGTCTTCCCTGCTTCCTATTCCTGTCAGGCAGGGCGCCGAGCCGTGCCCATCGACCTGGAGATTGGTGGGGCCTCAATGGACCTGACGACCGACATTGGGTTCTCCAATTGTCTTTATCACGCTTGCAACCTGCGTGAGGGGGCAGCCTGCATGGCTGCCCCAGTGTGTGGGTCGTTTGTGTTTATGAAGCTTGGGAACATATCGCTTCAACCTGTTTTGGTTTTTCCTTGGTGCCTTGTCAACTTACATGTACAAGCCATGAATGGAAGGTCCAAAGAGAAGATGTTACTCTATACAGTCCTGCCTTTAGTTCCCTCACTCATTGAACGCTTGGCCAAGGAGTCGCGGCTCGACGGGGCGTTCAGTGGCCAATCCAATGGGCTTTGGGGAGTCCTGTCGAATTGGAAATCTTTTGGTTTCGCGGACGCTGGTGATCATGCTCATTTGCGCAGCTAAGTGTGTCTGGTTTTGCTTGGAACAACCTGGCACAAGCATCATGGAGCTCCACACCCTATTCCAGCGTTTCATCAAAATTGTGGCCCTTCGGAAACTCAAGATCAACATGGGCGACTACGGAGCGCCCACATTGAAACCTACGATCCTCTACTCGAGTCCCTTGTCTCTCAGGGAAATGAAAAGAGGCCCCCTCAAGTCTACCCCAAATGGTGTGGAAAGTCCTGAAAGCAAGTTAGAAAAAAACACTCCCAAATCACCAATACACAGGGTGAATGCCGGCCTTACAAACATTTCTGCTCGCAAGGTCACAGGGCTATTGATATGCTGCCCAACTACACGATTCGCCGCCAGCTGGTGAAGAAGCACATGGTGAAGCGTTATGTGGATGGGAACGGGAAGCAAAGAGTGTGCGGCGGTGTGGATCTCAAAACGTCGCAAGCGTACCCGAAGCAGTTTCTGGGTCATGCGCAGCAGTCTCTTAGTTGTTGTTATCTTGTTGACCACTTCTTTCTTTGCAATTTAACATTCATTCCAAACATATTTACAGTGATCAGTGATTAAACATATCAATCCATACAATAAGTACAATATAGTACAATATTCAATATTTCTATGCATATATTTGAGGGACTCCAAGACCTTTGCCCTGCCCAGTTTCGGTGTTGCCTTGGCAGCTTGCAGAAGCGCCACAGCAGCAAACCGCAGACTCACGGCGAAGAGGTTCCTGGAGGTGGCACGCAGGTCCAGCAACGAAGCCGACGGTCGGCGCCACATTGACAAAGTGTGGCGTGATGCAGCCCAATTAGATAGTGTCATTAAATTCTTGACGCAAAGGCCTTGAAGGCTGTGATAGATCCCATCGTTCTTTTCCCACGTTCTTGAAAGATTGGGCGTGGGTTGAAATTCAAAGCAGCAAGTCTGAAGCAAGGCTTCGCATTGCCACATGGACTGGGGGGGGCTGAGATGAAAATCCAGGGTTTCCGCAGGTTACGTCCCATGTCTAGCTGTAGGGTTCTCCCGACGCCCGAGCGAGCGAGAGCGAGAGAGTGATCCAGAAACCATGGAACCATGGGCCATGGGTGAAGGCTTTAAAAACATTAAGAAACAAACCCAAGAAACAATCCCGATATCATCCAACTCAAACTGTCACAGCCTGTGAGACTTGGTACACTTCAAATCGTCTTGTACAAAGACAGAATACTATCATTATTAAAGTTACATGTGAGATGTTTATCCGATATCCATCTGCAAAAAAGGAATAACTGATAACAAGTCCAGGATAGTTGATAAATCATCTTGGTGCATGGATCAACCCATCTTGCTCCCATGATTCCAGCACAAATCATCTTGGTTCACGCATCAAGCCATGCTGTTCCCAGGACCTGGTTCGGATGCCACGCCTCTTCCTAAAGCGGAGCTTGAATCCAGGTGCGCCCTGCCCGGAGAGCGTTGGGGCTGGAGTTGGAGTGGTTCACTTGTTAATAGTTCGACAAAAACTGACGCAAACAGATTCGAAACATGACAAAGTAATGCTGCGAACAAGTGCGAAAATGATGCGAATGGGTGCGAAATGCTGCGAATTGTATGTGGACCTAAAAAACAATCAAAGAGGGTCATAGGTGTCGAGAGAAAGGTGAGGTCAGGGTCAGGTCAACGTCTATGCCAATAGTGCGAGTTGCATGTCTCCGTTTGCATGTGCATGTAGCTTTTGTGTGTGCTCAGGGCGCCTGTAAGTTCCTTTGCCCCAGTGTACCTTGATGTCAGCGCCACGTCGACGGGTGATGGGGAAGTCTTCAGAACAGCAGATTGAACAGAAGGTTGCCAGGCCATCTGCTTTGAGGCGGCCCAGCACTGAGAAGAAAGTGGATGATGTGAAGTTGAAGGGAAAGGCAGAGAAAGCGAGGAAGGAGAAGAAGGCGCTGGAGGAGAAGGCGCGGGAAGAGATGAAGAAGAGTGCGAAGAATGATGAGGTCAAGGGCAAGGTCAAAGAAGAGAAGAGAAAAGCAGAGAAAGAGAAGAGCAAAGCGGCAGAGAAAGAAGAGAAGCGCAAAGCAGAGAAAGAAGGGAAGAGCAAAGAGAAGCGGATTGACCAGAAGGGTGGAAGCAGGAAGGACTCCAATGTCAAAGCAGAGAAGGCGCGTTCCAGTTCCAACGACAAGGTGAGGGAATTACAAAAGAAGTTGGACAAGAAGTTGGAGGCAATCGCAGCAAGCGCAAGGACAAGAAGCAAGTCGAAAGAGGAGAAGCCGGTGAAGAAGCAGAGCAAGAAGGAGGAGTCGGTGAAGTACCTCCCAGCCCGCAAGAAAGACATCGAGCACTTGTTCGAAACCCCTCAGCGCACAAAGCGCCCAAGGCCGTCGCCTGCACCTTCAGACAATTTGAGCACCAAGAGTCAGAAGAAACGCCTGCTAGAGTTGCAGGCCTGCCTTGACGCTACAGGCTCTGACAATGAGTCGGAGTGCTCTGAGCCTGAGGATGAGGATGAGAGCGAGTCTGCGGGCGCCAAGTCTGAGGCTGAGGATGGAGAGTCATCCGATGAACACGAAGAAGCAGAAGAGATTGACCAAGAGAAGGAGAAGTCAGAGGAGTCTGAAGCTGAAGGGAGTGACCAAAGCCAGGAGGAGGAAGAGGAGGAAGATGAAGGTGACGAAGGTGAAGCGGAGAAGGAGGAGGAAGAGGAGGAGGAAGAGAAAGAGAAGGAGGCAGGGGAGCCAGAGTGTCATGCTTTGGTGCCTGTGGTCCTGGATGCTGTGGAGAAGCCTATTGCCCCTGTCCCTACGCGACGAAACAGTAACTCATCTTTGAACAAACAAGTTTCCAGTCTTTCTTGACCCTGATCTTGCCTTCCAACTAAAGTGTTCGTAGATATGTTGCACATCAATCATGCTAAGGCGTGACGAACAAAAAGGAATGGGATTCCTTTGTTCGATCGCAGGGCCGGTTTCGTGTCCATGACTACTTCACAAACAACAAAATTGATTGCTTCAACATGTGGTTGGACCAGGGCAAGTCGTGGGATAATGTCGTGCTCGCAGTCTCTCGCCTCCACACAACGCAGAATGAGAGCACCAAGGGCATGACCTCAATCCAAGGGAAGGACTTGAAGCAGACCCACACTCCAGAAAAGTATGAGGCCCTGATCAAAGCTCGCAAGGAATCTGGCATGTGGTACCCCAGCACTGACTTCCCGGATGACCCCGATGAAACTCAGCTCAAATTCAATAAAGCGTTTCTGGGGTCCAACTTCCCAATTAAAAGATGAGGTGTCTTGAATTTGTTCATAAAGCATTGTATGTAAGGAAGCTTGGTATTACATGCCGGCTGCAAAGACCATCACCCAGAAGGATATCACATCCGAAAGCACGCAGCTATCGGCAAGTACTGCTGTGGATAGTGGCTTGCTAGAAGCCATAACGGACTCAGACAACGGTTTCATGCGTGGTGGGGCCATGCCAGCTGTGGAAACCATTTCGGCTGCGGGTAGCAAGGCTCTATTGGATGCTATGGGTAAGGCCTGTGCCAAACAAAATGTATTGTTCATTTCACACACACACACCAGGTTTCACATGTCCCTAAAATCTCCAAAACTGGTCGTCCTGCTCAAGTGTTCTGACGGTCCCTGCTCACCAGGCGGTGGTGAAGAAGAAAGTGCCCAAGCCTGAGGAGGATGAGAAGTCGAAGAAAGTTGAGCCGCAGACTATTCAGGAGAAGCTTCAAGAGGGGAGTACTGAGGCTTTGAAGTTGGCCGGCCAGGCAAGGACTGATTCGATCACCCTTGCTGGCCCAGATTACGCCGATGATCTCAGTGGGGCCCTCTTGAAGCATGCCAACGCGACTGAAGAAGTCTACAAAAACGTTCAACTTGCGCTCAAGAAGAAGTCCAGCGACAAAGATCTCAAACCCTTCGTTGCGGAGCTGGAATCCAAAGTTCAAGTGCTGAAGAAAATGAAGGCTGGGCGGGCCAAGTCCATGACTCATTGTGGGCGATGTCATTGCAGGTGCATCCAAATCGTGTTCATCCCAACCTCAACAACATCCTAGATTTGCAGGCATACTTTTGATTGAAACTCATTGTGGCCGATGTCATTGCAGGTGCATCCAAATCGTGTTCATCCCAATCTCAAAAACATCCTATAGATTTGCAGGCATACTTTTGATTGAAACCTTTCTGCATAGCCAATTGAACAATTATTCTCCTCTCATTGGACTTCATCGCAAGTTTGGTGACAAGCGTCAAGGTTGTTTTTGTTGCTCAAACATGACTGAACATCAAAAGTGCGACTATTGGGATCGAAGGGATTGAGACTTACCAAACTGTCAGCTCAGCGCACCTGTCCAGGCAGCGGCTGCAGCTTTCCTCGCAAGCAAGCGGGGCACGAAGAAGGCAAAGAGCAAGAAAGCTGCCAAGGACTCTGGTGCCAAAACCAAGTGATCCATTTAAGTGCGACTGCTCTCTATCTGAGTTAGTCAGCTTTCGGGGAGCTTCAATCAAGAAGCTATGGGCGAAGCCGTGATTAGGTGCTGGATGACTGTAAGCCAGCTGCAGTGATTTGACATTCTTGCATTTGTGCAGAGTCATCTGAACACAGTTCGAACACGGCCGTGCGACTTGAAAAGGAAAACCATACTTGCATATCATATACTTGCAAATTTCCAAATATTTTGGGGCACTCTTTGAAAGTCGTACACTTTGGACACACCCTCTGAAAGTTGTGACAAGCCATATTTAGACACCAAGAGTTCTGTCGGAGGCACGACGCGCGCCTCAACCCAATCCATCTTTGCTTCGTCCAACTCAGCCAGGCTTGCAATCGTCAAGGCCGGCCTGGGTAGCTCAGAAATCGAATCGAAGGTCGGGTCATCTTTTAAGAATGTGGTAGCTCAGAAATCAAAGGTTGAGTGTCTTTTCAAGAACATCTCTCATGTCTCTTCCAAAAATAAAGAGTCCATTCATGTCTATTCGATACAACGGGCAGGAAGAGACAACGATTGGAGACCTACAATGAGTCCCAAACTGTTACCAAATTGGTAGAGCTTATTGGAACGGGCAAGCTCAGCGTGATCGGAGCAGTTGATCTCGCGAACTGCATGGTGACGGATGGCACTGATCACGAAGCTGTTCGCGCTTTTAGCTCTTTGGGAACAAATGGAGCAAACCCTCAGAATTGCGAGCGTGATTTACATAGATGGCTGGAAGGGCTTGGTATTCGACTTCAGCCCTACACAGTGACGATGAACCTTCAAGTGCTTTTGTTACAAAATCGGGGTGTACATATTCTTTTTCGTGGGTCTTCGACTTCAACCCTACACAGTGTTGATGAATCTCCAAATTCTTGTTACAAAAATCAGGGTGTTCTGCTACAGAGTTCGTTGGGTACACGCGTCAAGAAAAGCAACCTTTTGGTCCATCTCTGCTCAGCCCGTTCCCGATCTGAGGTTGAGGGCCACGAGGTGAAGCCTCACACGGTCTCGGTGCTCCTGCCGCACGAGTTGATTCACTGCTTGTCGCAAGATGCATTCGCGTTTAACAGCATCTTTCTTGGGAACATAAGCGAGTCTGGTCGTGTTGGGTTTTGGAGGCATGCGCAGAACCTAGCTCCGCGGAGAAACCATCCATGCTTTGAACAAGAAAATGTTTCGCTAGCATCATTGGTGCCTTTAACGGTACATGGGGATGGAGCCCAGTTCTTCAGAGATGACGAGCACTATGTTTATAGCATTTCATCACTTTTTGGGTGCAATGGATGCATACAGACTACACTTCTGAGCAAGTTCCCCATTGCTATAATTCCTGAGCGGTGGATGCGCTCCTCTCAAGCTCCCTGGCCTTCGTTTTGCAACCCTCATGCCCCAAAGCCCCAAGCCTGTTTACACATAACGTATGCCGGTTGGTGAACCTATTCACTCGTTCCCGTTTCAGTGAGGCTCAAAAGTCTGTGAACCAGACAGTGGCGCAGCTGGTGGCCTGGTCGCTCAAATGCTCCATCTCGGGAGTAGGGCCTGACGTCGGGATGTACGGTGAGACCTTGACTGGGTACAGGGCTGAAATGAGAGGAGTGTCTTTGGGCCCTTGGAAGTGACCCGTCCGAGTGAAGGGTATCTTTGATCATTTTCTGGTTTTGGTGATAAAACATACCCTATAGAATAGAGAGGTAAATAATGCTGTTCAATCAACCTTGCTAAGGGCTGCGTACTTTGCTTTCAAGGCGGACCTAAAGGCTCGCAAGTGGATGCATTCCTTTTCAAGGTACTACAAGTCAAAACTGCAATCTGGCTCGCATACAGTATGCCAAGGTTCTTTTTTTCACATGTGCCGCCCAACAACACCTTACTTACTCAGATCAAAATGGGTGGAGGGAGCCTTCCAATCAGCAAACCCTCTGTTCGGACACATTCGGACACTTCGTAACAGCTGAGGATTTGTGACTCTTGCCTGGTGAGTTCAGGTGCCAGTGATTCAGCTATGCGCTACAAGAACTTTAGTCAGGAAGCAGCCTGGCCACTTACGACGGTCTCTCACGAAGACTATATGGCGATGCCGGGCACAAAAACGACATGGCTTCAGGTCGAAGGGTTTCGGTTGGAGAACTGTGCATTCGACTTTATGCACAATGTCTTTTTGGGCATAGCAAGAGATTTATGTGGTTCATCCATCCAAGTTCTCATCCGCTTCGGGTGGTATGACCATGTGGTGGGTGACATGGACTGCAAGCTTGCAGCTGTTCAAAGGGAGATGGTGAGAGATTGTCGTGCGTGTGGGTGTTTGGGTTGGATTGGATAGCAACGTTTTCAAGTTTGCTTATACCACAATATGTTTTGTTGTTGCTTAAATACTGTTACGGTGCTGGAGATAGTTCCACTAAAAAACGTGCTCAAGCAATCCACCCCAAATGTTCCAAACCTCTTCAATGTTTGTAAGCCACTGGAAACTGCCTAGGTTCTTCATGCCAAAGAAACCTGTCTTGACAGAGGCAAACTTGGGTAAAGATGACTACGCCCAGCTTGGGACACGGTTCAAAGCTTCCCATGTAAAGCTGATCGTGTTCTGGATTGCGAAGAAGACCCAAAAATGCAGCGATCAAGCGCCAAATCACGTGGCCAAGATGAACCCCGCGAACTTTATGTGTTTGTTTTTCACTTGCGTTCACCAAGTGCGTGGTTTGGTCCTTCGTGGAACCTATCCCGCGCCCAGGATCGAATCACCCACGTGCTCGCAACTTGCGCCTACAGCTTGCAGCGGTGCATCGACCTATGCGACAACAGCGGACTCGTCCTAGATCCCACTGCTGCAAATGAAGCCAGTGACAGTTTGAGGCTGCACCTCAAGACCTATTCGTGGTTGGCAGCTTATTTCCATAGGGAAAGGCTTCTCCTTTTCAAGCTCCGTCCCAAACATCACTATGTGTACCACCAAGCCATGCAGTTGAAAGCATGGCGGATAAACATCAATTCGTTTTCGACATGGGACGAGGAAGGGTTCCTGGGGCAGATCAAAGCAATAGCTACTGCCTGCCACGGAGCGACTGCTACGTACCGCGTGTACCAAAGGTACTTGTTGGTTTTAGCGCTCATGGTGCAGAGGCATCGGGAGCTGAACGATATGTAGTTTTTTGGAGGGACTGCATGGGGTTGTCAACGTGAGAAAACACATGGAATTGGAAACAAGATGAACTCCATGCCCTGGGGATCAAGTGGATCGAACGGGGAAAGCTTGTCACCCGACACAAGCCGACACAAGCACGCCTCCAACTCGCGGAGGAAAAAGCATCGCAACTACCCAGGAGCGTTGTGAAAAGGCACCCTCATGGAATCCAAATGGTCCATCCCAACCTTCGGGTTTAAAAATATTGTTTGGGGGCTTTGACGATTTGGCACGCCATGACGGTGCCCGCAGGACTTCTCATCTTGGTTTGCTCTGCGTGTGTGTGTTCGTGTGTCTAAGTACCGGGGGGGGTGTCTAAGTTTAGTGGTCTGTTTGTGTGTGTGGAGGCGGTGTCTATAATTTAGTTAAAAAAAATAAATACATGCTGTGAGGAAGCAGCGAACGGCGCGAGCCAAACTTCAAGAAAAATTGAAAAGCCCTTGACCTTCAAACACATACACGCCAGCCCTGCTTCAAAAGATACATGGAAAACGTTGTTAAATAACAACTTCTCATGGAAACGACCACGGTGCCTATGGAGGCGCTCTTTAAAAACAGCGTTTCACGGAAACGACCACGCTGAGAAACGGGCGCTCTTTAAAAACAACGTTTCACGGAAACGGCCACGCTGAGAAACGGGCGCTGTTTGGAGAACACGTTTGGTGGAAACGACCACGCTCTGATAAGGGAACTTTATGTCAGTGACATATAGCAGCTAACAAAGTTCACCCCAAAGTCGCTGAAATCCAAAATTCTAAAGATTTATCGTTTTTTGCTTTGCGATGCAAACGACAGCGTTTGCTGCTGGTGAGAGCGTTATTATCAAAACATTGCCATCTGTTGCAAATGATGTCCTATCGGCGACGTTGGATCCTCTAGGGAAGGATATCATTGTCCCAACGTTCGTCTCCGTTGGCAAAGCCAAGAGCGAGGAGAGCAAAGAGCACAGAATAGTTGATGTCAACATGAGACGACATGATGGGGGGATTGCATATAGGTACCAGTTCGTGTTGTGCGAAGAAGATGACAACCTAGCCGCCCGCGACGAGCAGATGGTAATCGATCTGTACGATATAGGTAAAGAACCCGCATTCATCCTACTGTGTTCAGAGGAATGCAATCACTTCACCCACTTAGCGGCGAAGCACGACTGCACCATCGTCACTGTATCTCAAAGCGATGACCTCACTTCACCATACGGAATTGCACGTGCGCTTGCGGCAGTGCGTTCGGAGAAGGATGCAGTAATGTTTGCAGGACCCTGCACAGGCGGATCGGCATGTTCGAGATACAACGCCAAAGTCAGCGACGCGATAGCTAAATCTATAGAGCTTAAGCGAGCACTATACTGGGACCTTTGGGAGCGTTTTGAAACTGTTATGGTTCGTGTTTTGAAGATCGGAGCCGCCGCACTGTTTGAACTACCAAGATACTGTGCCTACTGGAAAGATCAAAGAGTTCAACGTTTGTTGAGCGGCACTGATTGCGACTGTCATGTGTTTGATGGATGTATGTACGGGTTAGGCGCTGAGTTCAACGATTCGCATTCCGACAAGAAACTCATCAAGAAACCTTGGAAGATTGTATCATGGAATCTTGAGTTTGGCAACCAGCTCAGCAGAACATGTGACAAGAGCCATAGTCATAGAGATTGCGCAGGTAAATACACTAAGACTACTCAATTATATAATAAGAAGATAGTCGGCATCATCCTGAAGACCGTGACCAAGAGAGTCGCTGCATTCCAGAAATCTGAGAAGATGATGCATGCCGTTCCGTGCCTTATGATTCGAGCCTTGGGTAGTTCCTTCAACGAGCGATCAGTGTGTGATGCAACATCAAACGAGACTATATACACATGTTATAAGCATGGGACACAAACATCACACGCACGACGGATCGAACCACATGGCATTCATGATTGTCAGGCATGTTGTGTTTGTTTGTGTGACCACAGCACTGCTTCACCCGTACGCTTCAGCGACGTGGCTATGGAGTCTGTTGGTGGTGTCATGAACTATAACAGCAACACGAGCGGCTACCCGACTTTCATCATCAAGATCCTCGATGGCCTGGTTGAGATGAAGGAGAGAGGGCAGATCACCCTACCTCCGAGGATGTCAAGGAGTACGCATGGGCTGGATGTGGTTGAAGCATGGATTGCCGTCGGCATTCCCCCGCTCGTCCCGTTATCCATCAACTATGCAATGTCCAGGACAAAGTCCGATGACACCAAATTCTTGACCGCTTCACTGAAGAAGCTAGTGGGCTACATGAACGAGGAAGAGAAGAAAGAGAAAACTGGCGACTTGGCAAGACGCTATAAGCTATCCATGGCCACCATCAAGGGGCGCTTCGGGAACGATGCGAGTGGGGTTTTCAGCAACCTTTCTCGCTACCTTGTGGAGCCTGAGGAGATTGGGGCGATCGATGACTTATGGGACGACGTCCGCGACTTCATCAACAGCGGCAGACTCAATGACACTATGGTTGCCTACCAGCAGTGGAGGAACCTGTCCGGGTCGGCCAATGAGAGCATGAATATGCGTGAAGCCGCGGATCCGTCAGATCACGTATATGCTACCCGCCTCGAGAGTTACTACACGATCTTCAGCTCGATCTTCTATCACACTTCTGACAAACTCACCAGTCGAAACGCGAAGGAGAAGGTGAAAGAGCTGATAGACACGGTGAACAGAGAAGTCCGCAACATGGCACTGGCAATAAGGGTCCACAACTCGGACAACGCGATGGACAAGATCCACGTGATCGACGTGCTCGAGGACCTGATTGCCAGGAAGAGAGGGCTGCCAAAATACAGGTCGGCGGCTCAGAACCATATGGAGACCTTTCTAGGCTCCATGAGTGTTACCTCGACAACTGCAAGCCTCCGATAGCCCTGATAGTACCAGAAGAACTCAGATTCATGAGGGAAAAGGTCACGCCGATGATCAATGAGTGGATCCCGGTTGAACCCACAATGTTTCGAGTTCAGTACAACGCAGCGGCGGCGGAGAGCGGAAGGCAAAATGAGTACAACCGGCGGAGCAGCGCCTTCAAATCCTACACCGACTACATCGAGGAGTTGAAGAAGAAGATCGAGGACAAAGTTATCCCCTCGTTACCATTTTGGGACATGGTGGAAAGTGAAGGTCCTGAGCCCCCCGACGTTGCTCATAGGCCAAAGTGGTGCCCACCGCTTCAGATCTACGGTGACTTTGCTAGGCCGAAGGCCAAACCAATGCCTCGCGCGCCAAGACCTCCTCCACCGTCGTCGTCATTTGAACAGCAGAACTTTTCGGAGCGTCCTTCCGACAGTTCAACTGGACATGGGCCGGCGTCCTCCAAGCGGTGGGGAAGGACAGGTGGATCAGAATCCACCGGTGCGGCATCAAGGGACGTCTCAGCCACTACATGGTTTAGAATGCCGTTACCGATGGGGTCATCCAAATACTACGTATTTGGGAGGGACTATTTTTCGCGAGACATGAAGGTCTACGCGATGGTCAGCGCCAACCAGGTGCCATCCGGGCACATCGTAGAAGGTCCCTGCACCGTTAACGGACAGATGACATGGTTGCAGTACTTACGAAGGTTGACGTCAAATTTGATGTTTTGGCATGGAGAGTACCAAGAGACGGTGATCAATCGGAACTACTACAAAGAGGACGCCCATTGGTTCGCTCAATATGCCAACATCTATGACTCAACACAAGTGTCACTTGCTGGAGGGCTACCATCTCCGAGAACGCTATACAACCTTTGCTACCCAATGGAAGCCAAGGTGACTGATGAAGCGGAATTGGAGCTGAGGATGCGTGAGACCTTGAAGGGCTTCATCCCAAGTGTCACGTGTCAGCCAGCAACTCGCACCATCGATGGTGAGAGTGTGCACTGTGAGTTCATCGGCGCCATGAAGACCAGTAAGGTGATTTTGATGTCTGACTTCGAGTACATCACCAAGTCGAATTCCGGAAAGCAGACAGTGTTCGCCCAGAGCTTATTGTCACTTGGATGGGACAAGGTCATCAACATGTCTTGTACGCCTGAGTACAAGAAAGGAGAGACGACGGATCCATATGGTTTCATCAACTTCGTTCGTGATCGAATTGATGATGTCAAACGTCATGAACCCACCTCCATCCATGTGTGGTTGTCATTGAGCAATCTGGTGACTGCGGGCGAGAAGGGGACATACAAGACTGTGATTGCCCCCGTGGACTTCGTTCCGAGACTCAGGGATGTGATCGTCAAGCTTGACGCATGCTGCCAACTACCTACCTTCGTGAGGATTTGCGCAGACGTGGAGTTTCACCATGCCGTCGGTTCGTTCGGTAAGATCGCCAACATGATCAAGGACGAGCTGTCGCTGAATGGCATGATGTCCACAACGTCGGACAGGTTCTGGCGAGCCATTTCGGTCGCCGGAAGCGGTCACCCCTACTCTATGAAGTCTGGAACCTCTTTGGTCCACGCTGTCATGCAAAAGTACTTGTTCAGAGAAAAGATGCTCGCTTCTTGCTTTATGGCACCGGATCCCTTGACCGAAGCGAATAGCCTCCATGATCCCAACTTGGAACACGTGTTGCAGGACAAAGAGAGGTTGTATCAGTACTTGTTCGGAGATTCCGTAAGAGGAAGCCATGCATATCAGTCCACTGCAGGGGCTTCAGGTGAGAATGAGTCTGAGCGGAGGAAGAGGGAGAAGGTAAGGAGAGAGAACAAGATGCCATGGATGGATGAGTACTGGGGAGTCCTTCAGCCAGAACCAATATACTCGAGGACTCAAAGGTGGTACGTCATTGATGACTTTAAGGAGGGTGAGGAAATTTGCTGCGACTACTGTCTGGTCTGCAATCCCATAGACTCCGATTTGAAAGACGATTGCTATGCAGAATGCATCAACGGAGCAGCAAATAGATGCCGTGGGATGTCCGCAGAAGACTACGTCCAGAAGCGATTCC